CGAGGCCAGCTGATGTTTCGGGGCGCTCCTTGGCCGGCTGAAGGTATTCTGGGTGAGCAGAGATGGGGGACATCAGTAAGGGCATCCTGGCAGGATGCAGCACTTAAGTGCTGTAGAGCCATGCAGGCTGCCCCACCCCTCCCCAGTTATCAGGATGAAGACGCTGCAGCACAAGCACCATGGCACAAGCCGGCACGGGGCAGCACCACTCACCAGCATATGCCCTGGCTTTGGCTTTAGAGGCACGGGTACCCTGGGAAAGTGGACGTGTCTTCACCATCAGGTGCTTGGTGCTGAGGGCATCGCGTGCTGCAGGAAGAGAGCAGTGGTGCCCATGTGTGGGGCCAGCCCCATGCTAACAGTCCAGCCACGGGAGAGGCAGGGGGGCCCCCCCCCCCTTTTTTCCCCTCTGCCCATACCCTGCCAAACAGGGAGCAGTACCTGTTATGGGGCTGGAGAAGACACCCAGGGCATGTGTATCATCCACCCACTTAATATCAAAGCCTTTTTTCCTGCCAGAGAGAGGGAAGCTCAGCAAAGCATTGGCACTAGGTGGACAGGGGTCTGAAGCAGAGCCCAGGTAGGAGACACCAGTGCTGGGGACAGGGTAGTGCAGGCAGACTCACTGATAGCTGCAGAAGACACGCATCAGGTCCTCAGTGCGGAAATCTGAGGGGAAGTCATAGATCTCGATGACGTGGGGCAGCTCATCATCACTGATGTCTGGTGCAGCGGGCTCAGCCCCATAGTAGTCAAAGCGGGATGACTGCAGGCTCTCCCGCCGCTTCTCACCCCCCGAGAGCTGCAGGGGTAGGAGAGGCACAGCACTGAGCAACCCCTGCCTGCTTGCCTGCCCCATGCCAGCTCCCGGTCCATGGCAAGTGCTCCCTGGGAAGTGGTTCTGCCTGCACAGCCCACCCTGGCACTGCAGATGGATACATGGCATCGAGATATTAGGAGTTATTGACCAGAGTTCTTACGCTGTGCACTTGCTTTTCCCATTACCAGCATCCCTCCACTTGCTGTGCTCTGCAGTCCCACCAGAGACACAATAGAACGGCACTGGTGAGATACTGCGTGCACCCCCAAGCACAACTCTCCTTCCACAGTGACCCGAAATACGTTTGGGAAACCAAAAGGAGCACGACAGCAAGGCCAGGAGGAAAGACTGATGCCTGCCTGCCATGTGGAAGCAGCGGGCTTGGCATGCCCAGGCTGCAGCACATGCACTGGAGCAGCCCGTCAGCACCCCAGCGGCCAAGGTGGAAAAGCCAGCGCTCTCCTGAGGAGCAGGTTCTGGTGGTTAATCACCTGCACAGCTAAAATTTATGCCTTATTCCTCATTTGAATTTGTCTGTCTCTGCTTTCCAGACGGTGGATCTTGTTCTGCCTCTCCGTTGGATTAAAGAGCCCTGAGTTCCCAGCCTCCTCCCCGTGATGGCACTTACATGCTAATTGAGTCCCTTCTCAATCTTCTTCCTGATAAGCTAAATGGGTTGTGTGCCTTTAGTATCTCACAGTAGGGCACTTCCTCCAGCCCTAAAAGATGATGGCTGTACGCTTTTTCACCTGTTCCATTCTTCAATCTTCATTTTAAAACATGGGCAGCAGTCTCCCATTCGCATGTCACTGTACTGCAGCTGTCCCCTATTCCTCTCTGCCCCAGAGCATTGATGCCAGTGTGCCACCCTGCATCACCCTCTGCCCAGTGAGCTACCTTGCATCGCTTCCTGCACTCCTGCTTTCCAAACTGCAACACGCCAATGCAAAGGGTGCTGCAGCTGAGACACTGGGCCAGGAACAACCTTAAGCCATCGGAGGCTCCCCCGTCCTCCCTGGAGCATGGTGCCATGGACCAGGTACATAACTCAGCCAGGTTCCCAGCTTGATCCCCCAAGCGATCGTAGCAGAACACACCATGGCTGGAAGAGTCCATAAATCCCAGCCAGCTCAGTCAATAAAAAGCACTCATTCCGACAATTTTATGGGGAAGATGGATTCACGGCAGGTGAGGGGGTGCTGCCAGGGCAGCTGGATGCTGGTGGAGGGTAGAACTGAGTGATGGAGCTCATGGGACAGGCCAGCACTGCTGGCAGAGCCGCCTGCCCTGCCACCATCACCCTTTAAGTGCGCGCACCCCTGACTGCTCAGGAAGGCAAAGGAGCCATCCCCGGGCAGGATGAAGCCCTGCAGTGCTGCTTGAGGGAGCAGAGCACCTGGATAGTGCTAGGCACAGGGAAGATGATTAGAGAGCAGGAGCACAGAGTGCCAGAGTGGTCCTTGACCTTCACAAATCACCAAGTGTAGCAGGGCAGCAAGGACAGGAGCCGTCTGGCAGCGGGCTCAGCTGCACGGCAGGCATGGCTCAACAGGTCCCCCAGTGCTGCTGGCCCAGGCACACAGTGTGCCCAGAGCCTCTCAGCCATGGGGTAGGGCAGGGAGCAGGAGCTGGGTTATGGCTGAAGGATGGACAGACGGACAGCAGAGACAGGACACCATGGAAAACAAAGCCTGTCCATCACACCTTGCTGCTCTCTGAAGACAGACCCTCCCAAGAGCACATTAGAGGGGTCCGTGGCTGCTTCCTTAGACTCCCTTCCACTTGCTGAGGGTGCACCTCTGGAGCTGGAGGGAAGGTGTGTGCTGGCACGCACACCATGGCCCCAGCATACATACACCATAGTCCCCACCATGCTGCACTGGCTGATGGAGAGTCCTCCAAGCCCGCAAGGAAATGGTCGCAGTGCTTAATTATCCTCTGTGCTCGAACTGATTTCTACTCTGAATTTGTCTGGTTTCAGCTTCCAGCCAATGGATCTCACTATGGTGCTTTCTCCTGCTAAATTAAAGAGCCTTCCACTATCAGAAATCTCTCCTCCATGCAGAACGTCATAAATCTTGCTATCTGCATTGCATAAGGATTCAGCTACGAGGAAGAACGTTACTAATTTCCTTGTCCTTTTTGTTAATTAACAACAGCTCCCTCACCCCAAGAGCCTGTGCCCTCCCTGAGAAGCCACATCTGCCTGCAGAGAGCTCAGAGGGCTCAGGAAGCACCAGGCTCAGCATGGGAATCTGCGGGGAGTGAAGATGGGAACTTTTAATTGATAAACCCCCTTTTCAGGTTCTTATTTACCCATATGGGGAAGCTCCCTGGAAAGCTCAAACTTCGCTCAAAGCTAGCACAGATACTCCAGGGCTCCTCGGAGTTAGCGCCCGTGCTGCACAGCACAACCTTGCCCACAGCATCCTATGGCTGCACCACAACATGGGCCCTCCCAGGGCCAGGCAGCCACTCAGCAGCACCCAAGGACAGAGCTGTGCCTACCGTGCCATGCCATGGAAATCCAGTGCCCACACCACATGTACCATCAGAGCAGCAGTGCTGTGCCCTTTGCACCAGCGCTTACCACAACCTCCCAGCTGGGGCTGCAGCCATGGGGCGCACAGCCAGGCAGGGATGGGGGTACCCAACACCTTTCCATGTCTCCCTCCAAGCAGCCCCAGAGGCGAGCCCATGCTGGGCTGGGAGAGGGCACACCAGCCCAAGCACAGGCCCATGGACAAGGTATGTACCAGTGCCCCTTGGCAGAGATGCTGTTATCAGGCACCATGAACCACTTCACACCCTGCTTCCAGCCCGGGGTGGACAGACACTGATGGTACCAGTATTAGTGCTGTTTGTTACTTCAGGTACATTAATGCCATTCGGAAAATTACTGGGTTGATGCTACTGATTTAAAATGCAATAAGGGACATCCAGCCTCGCTGCAGAAGCTAAGCTTTCCTCATGAACAGCAGGAAAACAGAGTAGGTCCTGGTGCTAAGCAGCTAATTGTAGTAAATCCAGCCGCATGCGTACAGGAGAGGATGGTAATGAGCCACAGCTGATTAAGAAGCCATGGTTTCAAGGAAACATCCCATTGCTATTTCAATGGGATCCCATCCGTCTCAGCCCATTTCTTTATCACCAGCCCTGTTTTCACAAGGGTGCAGTTGCAGTTTATGGCACTCAAGCATGTTCTACTGGTTGCACTTTATGTACTGTAAGAGGGAAGATCTCCCCAAGCTTTCAACAGCACTGGGGGACAGGATGGGAACCAGCTAGGGGGTGAAGGTGGAGGTCCCTGGTGTTTTGGCACCTCAGGCAGCTCATGCCCTTAAGGACCGCTGATGGTAACAGCAGGCAGTACAGAGGCTGGCTGTGTGCCCTGGGTGCAGCCTGTGCCGCCATGCACCCACCTGAGAGGACACCGGGACAATTGACCCCCT